GCGCATTTATCGAGGATGGCTATAGGCTATAAAACATCACGCTACAGCCAATAGGAGCTGAGTAAAGCGTGTGAAACCGCGCGGAAGTAGCCAGTTACATGAATAAATATCGATTTCGACATTTGAAAAATCAGTAGCGTACAATCAAGCAGGTTAGATCTTTTCTGTCAATTTTTTTCATGTTTTTTTATCTTAATTGTCTTGATATAAAGTCGAAAATCTAACTAAAACAGATTATACTTACAGATTATATTAGTTTATCCTTCTACTGGTCATTGTAGGAATAGGTAAATGTAAAAAAGGTTATTAAATACATATTAACCGTAAAACAAAAAAAAAAACAAATTACAATAAACAACCAATAATTTTATTGACTTACAAAAATACAATAATAATTTTTCGCTAACGACCACCCGTGTAACATAAATAACAATAAATTAATTATACATTTATTAATTTTATTTAATCTTTGACTACTTCGTATATTCGGACACACTTGCCATCCCAACCTTCTGCTGTAGATACCTGTAGAAAAGAAAAAAGTTTTAACTGAACCAATGTTATAAAGCCTTTCTATCATCGTACCACAAGACAATCGTCGAAGCGTGACCGATTCATGGTAGATATCCCACCCACACGCACGAAGCACTTCATATAAGAAAGAAAGAAAAATTGTTTATTTGGACACTGTCATAAAGTACAACACAGAAAAAATAATTAAACAATTAAGACGGGACAAAAAGGTCAGAGCTCAGCTTAAATGCTAAGTTTCATATCAAGCCTCCTTGTGTGTACTGCTAAGGAGCGGAATATTTTGCCAGAGTCTATATTTCCAGAAGGGTATAACCTGGGTGTCTTTAAGGCCCGAGTGAATAGATTGCCTATGGGACGATGTGCTCCATCGTAGACCGCATCATCGCTTACCACCAGGCGAGACAGCAGTCAAACGGTCGGCCCATCAAATAAAAAAATAAAGTAAAATACTTTATTTGCATAATTTTAGTATCCAAATTATACACTACAAAAGTACTGTTACATGCTTTAAAATAGAGTGTTTAAAGGCATTCTATTGTGTGAGTGAGTCTATTGCCAAATACCGGGCACAATTCCATACTCCGTGCTGCTACTGAGAATTTTTTTACCCAGTAATACTTTGCCCGACCCGGGAATCGAACCCGAGACCCCTTGTCGCGTCGCGCTTGCGACCATTCGGCCAACGAGGCAGTCACTTTATCCAACGTGTACATACATCAAACCTAAGACCAAGAAAGCAGTTTAGTTACTAACTAGACTACTAATACTAAACCATAATTACACCTATAAATAATTTACCTTCATACAATTAAAATATAACCACCCCAAGGCTCGACGAAGGGATATTAAATATGAATACTCCCTAGCCTTCATATAAACCATTCTAATGAAACTACGTACCAATTCTCGTTAACCAATAATTACCTTAGTGGCTTAGTTGCACGTTCATTATAATTTCTAAACGAGGACTCGAGCTGTTTAGTCGCTTTTAGTTTATAATTAAATATTTATTATAGGCAAGGTCTGCCTACTATTAAAAAAGATAAAGACAAAAATATTATAGACCAATTTTGACTAAACTCTTTGGACATTACATACTTTTGTGAAGAGTAATCATCATCATTACTAGGCTATGACAGTACACTTCATAACATAACATCACGCCTTGTATCCCGGAAGAGGAAGGCAGAGGTGCACATTACGGCACATAATGCCACTTAATTACGTATGTAACACCCACTTTTCACTATTTATGTTATGAGTCCCATGTAATAGGGGGTGAGCCTATTGCCATATACCGGGCACAATTCCAGGCTCCGTGCTATTACTGATAATTTGAAAAAAACCAAGTAATACTTTGCTCGATCCGGGTATCGAACTCGAGACTCCTTGCGCGGCAGTCACACATGCGGCCACTCGGCCAACGAGGCAGTACACTTCTTTCAGTTAAAAAGGTTTGCCATTCAGCTATGGAGGTTGCACGTATAAAAAGTTTAGGTTTTAAAAGGTCAGGATAACGCTGCTATCTAGTTGCTGTCCAATAGATAGTCCCTTAGTTGGCACTACTGTCATTCGCGAGAAGAGTAGAGCAAAAAGGCGTGGTGAGTTGCCGTCAGCAAACGGCATAAATGTCAGAGTGACAAATAAACTGATCTTCATCACCTAACATTACAGGAAAACTGAAATCATCAAAATGGCGAAGAAGACCTTGTCTGGCTTAATAGCCTTCTTTAAAATAAAATTAAATATATCATAAAGTATGTAGGTATCATGAGCATAAGCATGGGCCTGCGGACGGCGAGCACGGGTGGCTCGCCGCCCGACCAGAACCAGGCCCGAGCGTACGGCGCGTCACGTTCCGCGCGCGCCTCAAAGAGACATCAGACCACCACGGATGGGGCCCAACAGGGCTAATGCCGATACGGAGCCGCGGAAGACTTAACGGGTTGCCGGGGCTCCGGCTCGAAGTGCAGGAGTAGGAAGGGGGTGGTTTTTAGTCAGTAAGAGTCTGACACTCCCTCTCGCCTCACCCCGGCGGGATAAGTCATTGGATGATTTACCCCCCTCAAAAAAAAAAAAATAGATATAATACATACTAAGGCATTGTTTAGACTAACTGCTGAATACTTTTTTTCACTATGTTCCAAGGTTCATGTATGGGTATACTTACAACTGTCAGTAGCTCCGGTGTGAAAGTCCGCACATGCGTAGATTTCCTCCCGTTATCCTCCGACTGTGTTTGTATTAACGTGTCATCTTCAACCACCATCAAGGATTTGGTCTAGAAAAATATTAATAATCATAGAGTATTTTTACATAACATTTAAAATGGTATGTACTCAACAGCCTAATCTACAAAAGAGGAGATTGCTATAATTCCCACGCTTGGTAGGCAGATCCATAACAAAACCTTCATAATCAAATTTCACCTTGACGTAACCTCAAATGGTATCAAATATTAAAACAAAATGGTCGAAGAAATGCAATAAGAAGGCCCTTCCATGACATCACCTTGATATTTTATTCAAGTGCTTTTGACAACATTGATTGTCCCACAGGGACGACTTTAAAGCCGGTTATTGTATTTTGGACGGATCACCTGATGGTAAGTAATCGGCGTCGCCCATGGACACTCGGAACACCAGAGGCGTTACAAGGGCGTTACCGGCGTTTTGAGTATTAGGAATTTAAGGATTGTTGGGGATTCGAGGATTAGGGAAATTGGGGAGGGAGGGTACTTGGGCCTCCAATAACCACTTACACAACGAAACACAACGCAAGTGTTGTTTGATTCTGCGTCATTGGTAAGTTGCAAGAGTGAATATCAAGCAAGAGAATTGAAATCCGATTTCCAGTTGGAAAAATATTATTCAGTTCTAAAAGAGTGTGGGAAATAAGGAGTTTTAAAGAAAAACATCATGAGAATCCCTGAACACAAACAAAAAGTACAATTTTAAAATCACCAATCTTCTGGAGCAAGCGTGGTGATGTGCTAGTATTAAACTGTCAAACACCAAGCTGTCACCGGTGACCGCAACCTATTGTTCTTTAATTGTGTCTATAAATACGGTACTCGACGAGTTAATGCTCATTCCTTCTTAGTTTGAAAAGAGAGCTTAACCAGCAATGCACGAGTAAAGGTTGATGATAAAGAGGTGAGAAGAACGAACATTTAAATGGTATACCCGCTATACAGGCTGTCCCTGAAGTCGACGATCAAATGGCACCAGATGATCGGCAAGGTACCAACAGTTATCAATAGTTAAAAATATAAAAATAATCTTAGCTTTTTTGACGAACCAAGCCCGTCAAAAAATAACATTCTTTTCTAAACTAAAGTAGTTGGCTCAGAATTTATGATTCCATAATACTAGAGAACTATACAGAGTAACGTAAGCAAAACTACCTCTACAGTCGTAAAAATAAAAAAAATATAGCAACAAGAATGAAAAGGCTGGCACAGGGTATACGATTCGTGGATAACACATAAGTCATTTTAATTTAAAAACTATATGTCTTGGATTTTTTTTATATTAATTTCTGATAACTGTTGGAACCTTGTCGATCACCTCGTGTCATTTGATCGTCGACTTCAGGGACATTCTATATAGCAATAGGGTTGCCCTAACTAAATCTTACATAAAATTTAGATATTCCACTGCTAACTCGAGGCAATGACTAGCAGAAAGTTCTATAAAACACTTTCCAAGAACCATCAGGTACTATTTGATTCAGAATAACCTTCAAGTATCATTTTTCCCGCAATTTTCATAAGAAAGTAGCTATCATACAAAGTCAAGCAATTTTCTATCATTGTTTCAGAATCAATATTCATATGAAATAACCCTACGTATCATACATACATTAGATTCCCATAATGGCGAAACAGACCAATCTATTTTTCGTTAGTTATGAATGAATGATTTCTATGTGACTGAATTCCTATTCCTAAGGGAGCAAGGACCTGCAGACGGCGAGCTTGGGTGGGTCGTCGTCCGATCAGAACCAGACCCGAGCATACGGCGAGTCGCGTACCGCGCGCGCCTCAAAAAGCCATCAGACCACCACTGATGGGGCCCAATAGGGCTGATACCGATACGGAGCCGCGGAGGACTTAACGGGTTGCCGGGTCTCCGGCTCGAAGGGCAGGAGTAGGAACGGGGTAGTTTTTAGTCAGTAAGAGTCTGACACTCCCTCCCGCCACACCCAGACGGGAGAAGCAATTCGATGAAATTTACTCCCTTAAAAAATGGATTGGGGAGATTGGAAAGGGGTAATTGGGCCACCGATAACCTCACTCACTAACACAAAGCAAGCGTTGTTTAACGTCGGTTTTCTATAAGGCCGTGGTGTCACTTCGGAAGCATGGCTCTCCTACACTTCTTGCATGGCTCTCCCACGCTTGGTGGCTCAAATTGCTTAACATCAGAAAATCAGAACATCAGATGCTTCGTCTGCTCATCTACCCTCAAAATATTACGACTGCTAATAACCTTAACACCATCAGCTCTTTCCTCAACGAACTCCTCATTCAACTTGAAGCTGAAGGTGATAGTTTTAAAGGAGGTGGTCATCGTGAAGGTGTAGGTGTCTCCATCCTTGGTCAGCACTGCTACGGGGCTGACTGCGCAGGCGGCTTTACGGGAGATCATGCCGACTCCTGGAATGAAGATGGAGAACTATAAGTTGGTGTTAAAAACTATTTACATGGCTGATTACGAAAATAGAAAGAAATAAAAAAAAATATATTATACGCTAAAAACAGGTGACACATATAGATTAAACACATACAATTTATAACTGCCTAGTTGGCCGAGTGGTCGCAAGTGCGACTACCGGGCAAGGGATCTCGGGTTCGATTTCTGGGCCGGGCAAAGTATTACTGGGTTTTAAAAAATTCTCTCAATTCAGTAGTAGTATTGTGCCCGGTATACGGCAATAGGCACACCCTCTATTACATGGGACTCATAACATATATAGTGAAAAGTGGGTGTTACATTGTACAGTGGCCATTAAGTGCCGTAATGTGCACCCCTGCCTACCCCTTTGGGGATAAAAGGCGTGATGTTATGTTATACAGTTTATAAATAGTACTGGGTACGTATTGGTACAAGTCTGCGGTGAAATGGGACCAGTTCAGCATGTGCAAGACAGGGCCTTGCGCTGGTATTCTACAGGCCCCTTAAGTGATTCGCGGTCGAACAAGCAACCAATCGGAAAATAATAAGCATAATCATTTAATTGAAATCATTCGTCATCGAATACACAAGAATTCGATGTTTAAAATGTAGTGTAAGCAGTAAGTATTTAAAAGATTTAAATAATTTGTTAATATAATTGTGACAGTATTTAATTAGAATTTGAACTATAACATTTACAGGCCATTTGGTACTTTTAACATATTTTTAAAATGCAAAAGACAGTAAAAAAAGTCTGCTAGTTGTCAGTAGGCTGTCCGCGCACGCTGCTCGTGAGGAAGACTCCCTATGTGAGTCGAAACTAGTAGAGCTTTTCTCAGTACATTTACGTGACTCGTAATTTTCAGTTAATTCAGTAAGTCTCACGATAGTTATTATAAAATTCAAAAACTACTAAGCAAATATAGATGGAACTCGGCATTAATTAGACTATTGTTTTAGTGAAGGGAAACATTTTATCTCCGTTTCATGAGCAAAACAATAGTTTAGAGCTATAAAAAATTAAGAATTCTATTCCTGTTTTTATAATAACTATCGTGAGACATACTAAATTAAGTAAAATCGCGGGTTACTCACGTGAATATACTGTGAAAAGCTCTACTAGTTTCGAACCACAGAGGGGTTCTTCCTCATGAGCAGCGTGCGCGGTCGCTGCGCGACGTCGCCGCTAGTATATTCACGTGAGTAACCCGCGATTTTACTTACTTTCTATTCCTTTTTCCTATAAAAATACGTTAATTTTTACTATACCTTGCTAGAACAAGATCTAGAACTGTGCTACACTTAGCTAAGTCATTATTATACCCTTGAATAAACAATGTCTTACAACATTATGATCAATTATAGTGTTGTCATGGGTAGTCATTAAATTATACACATTACGATGTTCATAATAGTATATTGAAGATACTCGTATTATCACGGCTACCTCACCTTGATTTTTTTTATGGAATAAGCCGGTAAACGGGCAGACGGCTCACCTGATGGTAAGCAATCAGCGCCGCCCATGGACACCCAAAACACCAGAGGCGTTACAAGTGCGTTACCGGCCCTTTGGGGATTTGAGGAATGTCGGGGATTCCGGGATTGGGGAGACTGGGGAGGGGGGGTTATTGGGTCTCCGGTAACCTCACTCACGGTCGAGCCGGCCCATTTGTGTCAAAGCATGGCTCTAATACGTTTAAAGTAAGTTCGCAATTCAATGACATTCGTTTGATTAATCAATATCTTGGGAACTGAGGGCCAAGCACGAATAACTATCGCATTCGTAGCGTAATAGTATCGAGCGCGTTCGGCACTCTGATTGGCCGGTTCAAGTTAACCAACCAATCAGAACGCTTAACTCGCTCGATACTGTTTATTCGTGCTTGGCCCTCAGTAGTTTCCAAGATTTCGATATTTTCCCTTGGATAGTTTATTTATCGAGAAGGGTTATCGGCTTTAAGACAACACGCTGCAACCATAGGAGAAGAGCAGAGCAGGTAAGACCGCGCGGGACCATACATAACATCACGCCTTTTATCCCCGAAGGGGTAGGCACATTATGCCACTGTAAAATTTAACACCCACTTTTCACCATTTATGTTATGAGTCCCAAGTAATAGGGGGTGAGCCTAATGCCTTATAGCAGGCACAATACCAGACTCCGTGCTACTACTGAGATGTTTTTAAAACCCAGTAATACTTTGCACGACCCCGGAATCAAACCCAAGACCATTTGCCCGGCAATCGGACTTGCGACCCCTCGGCCAACGAGGCAGTCGCGGGACCAGTTAATTTAGTTATACATACAGTCTTATCCGTTTTTAATATACATATTTATACGTCTATCGTGGACAACAAGCCTAGACCAGCTTAATATCTTGTTTAGAAAAAATCTTTTGGACTTTGAACACTACATAATTAAAAGCAATCTATTTATAATGTAAATGGAAAAAGCCATAGCATTTACATTGCGAGATTAGTGATGTGAATAAAAACGTTTTTTTATTAATCTACGCAAGAGGAAGTCGTTAGATTTTTTAAAGTTATTATTGTCGTGACGGTTTCCAACACATTATTATATCTTAGAATTGAATAGAATAGAATAGAAATATATTTTTTAGTTTATGGTATCTTAAAAACATTGCTTCACACATACTACCATTGTTGGTGTACATGCAAGACGGAACTAGGGACATATTAGATACTAGCTGCTTCCGCGCGGTTTCACACGCTCTGCTCAGCTTCTATTGGTCGTAGCGTGATGATTTAAAGGCTATAGCCATCCTCGATAAATACGCTATCCAACACAAAAATAGTTATCCAAATCAAACTTGTAGTTACGGAGATTAGCGCGTTCAGACAAACAAACAAAAAACAAACTCTTCCGCTTTATATCTATATATATATAATTCAAAGGTGATTGACTGACTGACTGACTGACATAGTGATCTATCAACGCACAGCCCAAACCGCTGGATAGATTGGGCTAAAATTTGGAATATAGATAGATGTTATGACGTAGGCATCCGCTAAGAAAGGATTTTGATAATTTCCACCCCCAAGGGGATAAAAAAGGGGATGAAAGTTTGTATGAAACTTTGTCAGTTTTAAACCGATCGGGTTTAAATTTGGCATGCAGATAGATGTTATGACGTAAGCATCCGCTGTGAAAGGATTTTGATAATTTCCACCCCCAAGGGGGTAAAATAGGGGATGAAAGTTTGTATGAGACTTTGTCAGTTTTAAACCGATCGGGTTGAAATTTGGCATGCAGATAGATGTTATGACGTAGGCATCCGTTGTGAAAGGATTTTGATAATTTCCACCCCCAAGGGGGTAAAATAGGGGATGAAAGTTTGTATGGGACTTTGTCAGTTTTAAACCGATCGGTTAAAATTTGGCATGCAGATAGATGTTATGACGTAGTAATCCGCTGTGAAAGGATTTTGATAATTTCCACCCCCAAGGGGGTAAAATAGGGGATGAAAGTTTGTATGAGACTTTGTCAGTTTTAAATCGATCGGATTGAAATTTGACATGCAGATAGATGTTATCATATAAGCATCCGCTAAGAAAGGATTTTGATCATTTCCACCCCTAAGGGGGTAAAATAGGGGGTGAATGTTTATATGAAGCTTTGACAGTTTTACACCGATGCAGATGAAATTCGGCATGCAGGTAGATGTTATGACGTAGGCATCCCCAAGTAAGGATTTTGATTATTTCCACCTCCAATGGGGTAATGTAGGGGATGAACGTTTGTATGAAGCTTTGTCAGTTTTACACCGATCGGGTTGAAATTCGGCGTGCAGATGGATATTATGACGTAAACGTCCCTTTAGAAAGGTTTTTGAACATTCTCACCCCAAAGTATGATACTTTGCCAGTTTTAAATTGAGCGGGCTGAGAATTTGCATGCATAAATTTACTATGACATAGGTATCTCCTTAGAAAGGATTTTGATAAATTCCACCCCTAAGGGGATAAAATAGGGAATGAGAGTTTGTATAAATCTTCTTAGCCATTGAATTTAGAATCATTGAATCTTTTTGAATTACATTCGGTAAAACGATGATTTGGGGTCTGGGTAACGTTTGATAGTTTCTATCATAGATGTCCCACGGGAACGGGAACTATGCGTCAATGAACCGGGACTGTCTAACTCTTAACCACTGATCTTATTTTAGAGAGATTCGGTACAACAATAGTCGATAGAATAGTTTTTATTACTCAAACCTTACGTGATCGGGCACTGTACTGGTAAGATCCCTGCGGGATTATTTATTTATTGAAACTACGATAAATCATTTTAAAATCGGTAAATCTTACTTGGGCACTGAATTGATTCTGTCAGAAGTCATTAATCTACGCGGACGAAGTCGCGGGCAACAGCTAGTAATAGTATAAGATTCAAAATTAGTTATTCAAATTAAGAAAATAATAAAAATGTTAGCTTAGGGCATCTAAAAAATTTTCCTCATCGCTATCGTGAGGTAGGTTGCCCAAAAGACTGGCAGCATTACGTTGAATGGCAATGCCATCCTTTCGAGTGTCAACCATCCTCCTTACAATATCAATTAAATAAAAATCTATGCCCAAAAATGCAACATAAAAACTATATAACTTACCAATAAACTTCAGATATTCTTCAAATTGGTCAGAAGACTTCAGTTTGTATTTAATATTCAGGTATTTATCTATGCTCGCCATTGTACGGACTGTGTCTAGACGCGGTCAGCTGACGACTAGTGGGAGATTCTTCTCAGTTAGTGCGACTCTGAAAATATACAAATGTTTGTTAGTATAGTCGATATATTGTGGTATATAGTTTGTAAGAACTAATTCAGATTGTAATTACACTCGAGAGCAAGGAAACTGAGCCACTAGCGTCTTTTCTTTTCATTTTATCAAACCCTGTTATAACTTCAAGAAAAAATATTCCGTTTATAACAAAACTAGCTTTTACCCGC